AGCAGCAGAGTGTCTGCAGTGGAGAGATGTGAATCCACTTGCATCTCATCATTAACATCCTCTTTCGCCTTTCTTTCTGGTTCACTAGCAACAACCTCCTCATTAGCGTCATGATCACTGTTATCTTCATTCTGGGCTCTGTGTTTGATGAGCTGTGTTTCAGCAGTGTGGATGCTGGAGTGGCCCAGAGCAGCCAGTGGCTGCGTCTCCTCTTCTTCCTCCTCTTTTCTTCCATCTTCCTCCTCTTCTTGGCCCATCAAATCAGTGTAAGCCTGCGTAGCATCCAGATCCTGCTGGGTTTGCCCAGCTTTAGTATTGCCTTCTGAATTTTTCATAGCTATAATACATGAATGATAATTATAGTACTGTTAGCTTTATCAAGTAAGGTCAATACGTACTAGCTGACATTACCGTCAACTTGGTGAGAAAATTAAGTAACGTAGCAGTAAAAGCTGAAACAAAAGAAAATCCTTATAGTCATTACACTGTATTGTATTACTTTATACTGTTGCGGTGTTTTGGAATTTTGGTTAGGTAGATTATTAGGGAAACGTATTCGAACATGAATAAATCTGATGGATTGAGACATTGATGGCTATTTTTCCTACACGCTGATACTTTTCAAGGCCAGCTAAAATGGTTAGCACAGTGATGCACCAACAGGAGGAACAACCTAAGTCAACTCGGTGACAAATAAAAAGAGAAATGTCTGGAAATGGGAGCAATACAGAAATGAAAGAGCTGTTGGCTGTACATGCTGAGGAAAAAGTCGCTGTTAATTACATACCACATTCCAGGATGCATCATTTATAAGCCAATCATCATCAGAGTCCAAGAATGCTTAGAGAGAAACTGCATGTATTAAACAAATTCATGTGTTTGAACATCCATTATAGGATTTGTCTGTCGCGGCAAATGCGAATATGCACAGCCCTGTATAATGCTGTTCAAATGCTGACCATTATCTAAAACATATGCCGATAAAAATCCCTGGCACTGCGTGTGAAAACTGTATGCTTCCAGTCAATGGTTCATGTTTATGATAGAAAATATTAAAATGAAGAAATCCCTATCATTTTAGAACAATAATTAAGATATTAACAGTATAAAAGAACAACTCGAATTATCCAGTGACCACAAAAAGTAGGAAACAAATCCAAACTATTTTGCATTTTAAATACTTCATGGTATTCCTAATGAAACTTTGCGCACTCTTGGCATTTTCTCAGTCACGTTCGCTTCAGCCCAGAGAAATGAACTTCCAAACATACCGAGCATTTGTTGGCTGCTTCGCATCAGTTCTAAATAAGAACGAGTTGGTCATTTTCAGTAAAAAAAATATAATTCAAATAAATTTAGATTCAGAAATAAACTTATACTCTTGCCAGTCAAAGTTTTTGAATAACCCACGTTAACGCTGTTATTGTTTAAATGATCTCCTTATAAAATGTTCTACAATTTGGAAATCAACCCATGGAATAAAGGTGTAAGCGAACTGTTTAATGAATTGAGAAATGTTAAGTGAAGTGAAGTGACTTGTGGCCAAGTTTAGTGACCCATACTCAGAATTTGTGCTCTGCATTTAACCCATCCAAGTGCACACACACAGTAGTGAACACACACCCGGAGCAGTGGGCAGCCTTTGCTGCGGCGCCCAGGGAGCAGTTGGGGGCTCAGTCCCTTGCTCAAGGGCCTCACCTCAGTCGTGGTATTGAGGGTGGAAGAGAGCGCTGGTCATTCACTCCCCCCACCTACAATCCCTGCCGGACCTGAGACTCAAACCCACGACCTTCGGGTTACAAGTCCGACTCTCTAACAATTAGGCATTTGCAGCACATTTTGTATTTATATTTTACAGTTTAATATAGGAAATAGGCTTATTGAGTTTATCCTCCAAGTATTCCAGCTTTTAATAAAGCGCTCATTTAGAGTCCCATTGGGATCTGAAAGCACCTGGTTCCACAAAGATTTAGTTATTCCTCATTTAACTGCTATTCTGTATCATTTAGTTTCATCAGTGATGGTGATTAAACTCTAATAAAACATAAGAAACATGTTCAATGAGGTCTGACAGGCAGTGTACACGGGCATTAACGTCACTATTTACATTTATCATCCGTAAGCCTTTACCAAAATATGCAAGACATTAACTAACATACAGTTTATTCAGTCTAGTGTGTCCAAAAGTTTGAATTAATAGACCATAATTCACTGAAGTTAAAAAGTGCCTGAGTAAGAGTGTGCATCTCCAAATGTATCATACTCTAATTACTTGTTATTAAGTACCTGATTTGACATTATGTATAATGCAGGTCTATGCAAGTTAAATGTGAAAAACGTACTGCTCTATGTGGATGTTAAACAGAGAGCAAACGAATAAGTAAACACCTAAAGAGTTGGCTTCAGTACTGTTTTCCATACTGAAGGACATGATGGTTGTAGTTACCATATAACTGAGTTGCCTGCAGCTGCCAGTCCTCCTCTGCAGGTTCCTGGTCATGCTCTTCAGCTTCTGGCAGTTGATGGCTGCCGTCTGAAAGGCCCAGCTGGAAGGATGAGGCTCCATCTGAGCGCCGAGGCTCAGGGCTATCCAGCGACTGAGGCGTCTCGTCTAGCGTAGCATCAGCTTGAGCAGCATCACACACGAAGGACTGAGTTTCAGCCACAGTAAAGTCATCATCCGTGTGACTGATACCTCCAGGAGAGACAGATGGGTGGAGGAGAGAGGGGAGAACCGGCCCTGAAGGAGTGAGAGAGACCAAGTGATAGTGAGATTGAAAATGATGATATACATCATCTAACAATACTTTCAAAACGTTTCTGTGGCAGCGGGGGCATGGTCGAGCGTAAGCTGTGGACGGAGAGGAGGCCGGTTGAACCGGCAGGCAGGTACCGTGCGATAATTCTCATCTGTGTATGATCACAGTGACTTTACTTATGTGTGCTTTGTTTGCCCTTTCAGGAAGAAAAAAAGGAGAATGGCATGAACTAGAGAGAGGGACAGAGCTGCCAGAGGTTGCGCAAACACACAGGCACACCCATGTTGGAAGGTGTTGATGAACCTAAGCGAGGTAGAAGCCCCGAAATATGGAGATGGTGTTTATTTCGTTTTTTCGGGTGAGTGCTGAAAGTACGCTAGTTTGAAAAATAAAGCAAGCCCGAAGCTCTGTCGAAGTCCACCTGTCTCAAGCATGCTCCGTCCCACCCACTTTCTCACACACAGGGTTCTACAGTTTCCCTTATCAGAAGTATGTGGGCACCTGGCCATCACACCCATATGTGCTTGTTGATCCTCCTATTCCAAAACCATGGCCGCTCATACAATTACATACTGTCATAAATAAGAATGAGTAGACCAATTCACTGACACATCCAGTCAGGTCCATAAGTATTTGGACAGCGACAATTTTCGTAATTTTGCCTCTGTACACCACCACAACGGATTTGAAATGAAGCAATCGAGATGTGAATGAAGTGTAGACTTTCAGCTTTAATCCAAGGGGTTTAACAGAAATATTGCATTAACCGTTTAGGAATTATAGACATTTATTACACAGTACCGCCATTTTCAGGCTCAAAAGTATTTGGACAGTTGACTGCTAAGCAGTTTCCTGGCCATGACTTCATTTCAAACCCACTGTGGTAGTGTACAGAGGCAAAATTACAAAACATTGTGTTACTGTCCGAATACTTATGGACCTGACTGTATAGCCTATTGACATACAGTAACAAGCAGTGCTCACTGAAGAATGGTAGGAAGGAGCGGGAGTATGAGAAAAGATCACCTCACATGGCCGGTATTTATATAGAGATTTAGTTACATAAAGACAAAAATGTAGCTACATTAAAACCACAAATCTCCCAACTAGAGACTCTTTTGAAACACACTGCCATTACCACAGGAAATGCCATGCGGCCACATGCGTCCCCTCCACAAGTGGTCTGAGTGATCAGATCACAAGACACTTTTGGCCTCGTTCAGACTGCTTTCAGACCCGTATTTAACGCTGTCCACTTGTGGTCCAAACGCCCGAGATGAATGTAAATGACTCACGTTTGAACAGCTGAGACGGACTGAGGAATGCTTCTGTTTCCATCTCCTCTTCAGACAAGCCTGTAGAAGACACACACACACACACACACACACACACACACACACACACACACACACAGAGAGAGCACAATTAAAACCACATTGCTGTTGAATCAGAAATCTTACTGGTCGGAAATTGTTGATTAATTTTCTAGGAAAATAAGTTTATCAGAATGCACTTGTTCTAATATGCTATTGTTTCTATAGTAACCGTTCATTTACGAGGGACTTGTATGATAGACGCTCCACATAATCAAAGGCTTATAATAAATATGTTAAAAACATGCTTTTATTTCATAAAGAAATATGCGGAATCGTTGATATGGTGAAGTTTTCTTCAAGGAGACGCCTATTTAACAATTGGAAGGCGTCTCGGGTATCAGTAAGTTTTCCACCACACAGCAGAGTCTTCGTAGAGTTTGACCTTTCCGGTTTCTCACAAGCTGTGTTTTTTTTTTTATCTTATTAACTTCATGAGAAAGGAATAAACAGAGGATGGTGAAGGAATGACTGTTTATAGCTGCAATAAGGTAAGTGATAACAAGAACAAACTTGTCTTGCGGATATTCCACAACTTAAATGTAACTATAAACAGTTAAAAAGCATGTTCATGAATAAATTAAATCAGGCTATATCACACCACCCTTTCATGGATTATTTTACTGTATCAGCATGCCCTATTGTGTTGTATTTCTTACATACGATAAAGGTGAATAATCCAATATAATATTCCTCTTTCGGCTGCTCCTGTTAGGGGTCACCACAGCAGATCATTGGTCCGTGTATTTGATTTGGCCAGATTTTACGCCGGATGCCCTTCCTGACGCAACCCTCCCCAATTTTTCTCCAGGCTTGGGACTGGCACTGAGAGTGCACTGTTACATGCAACCCCAGTGGCTGGAGCTGATTCCCTGGTGGGGGATCCAACCCGGGCTGCAGCGGTGAGAGCACTGTGGCCTAACCACTAGTCCTCCAGGGACCCGAATAATCCAATACAATAAATATCATTATTTACAAGAAATATTTTGGCTGTCGATAAAATAAACCCACCTGCTCCTCTTGGTGTAGACGAGTGGACAATCTGAACTGCTGCTTCTGCACACTTCTGCTCTTTCTCCTCCATCTTCTCTTCATCCTCCTCCACGTCTGTGTCGCTGTCCAGCCTGAACTCATCCCGCACCGTTTCAGCAGGAGGCTGGACTCGAACAGGACTGTCGTGCCGTGCGTCTGTGCTGCGTTCGTCAGCAGTCTGAATCTCTGAACGTGTCTGAGAGTTTCCTGTTACCTTGGCTACAGTGGGAGTTCTGATCTCAGTGATGTCATCCTCCACATCTGTATCACTGTCTGACTGATGATGTAACATTTTGGCATCTGGAACTTTTTTGCTGTCCACAGATTTGGCTTGTTTTCCCAGATCTTTGCTGTCCACCTCACTGCCTGAAGGTGGCTCGATAGCTTTTGTCGTGTCCTCGTCTTCCTCTACATCAGTATCGCTGTTCATGTTTAACTCGGCTACGTGACTGGTTGGAGGTTTCGAGTCTTGGATATGAAGAACATCCTCTACATCACTCTCTAAGTTTAACTGGGCAGATCTCGCCGGTTCTTTCTTCTTCTCTAGAGCAGCCTCAGGTCCAGAAAGTGCAGTGATGTCCGTTTTAACAGGCTCATTCTCCTCTACATCTGTATCGCTGTCCATGGTCACAGCTGGATTTACTGAGTCCTGTTTTACAGGTGCAGCTGAAGCTTCTGGATCACTCTTGGCCTTCTCCATCTCTTCCTCCTCTACATCGGTGTCACTGTCCATATGCAGATCAGCAGGATTTACAGCGTCCACCGCTGCTGTACCCGCAGCCTCAATTCCCGATGTAGCCTTCGTCATTTCCACCTCTTCATCCTCAACGTCTGTATCACTGTCTATGTTGAAGTGCAGTGGGTCGGGTTTAGAGGAGTCTGAGGAGACTTCAGTGTCATTCCCTGTCTTTAGAAATCTACCCTTCAGTGCTGAGGATGGAGTAATGGAGCTCTCATCCTCACTGCGAGAAAGATGAAGAAGAGTTATCTGCACCGATATGAAAAACATCATGTCCACTGCTTCATGCAGCACTACTCAGTATACATACAGTATGTTGTCACTCTAACAAGCAATGTGGATAAGCACGCAAACACACTGTGGAAAAATGTATACAGCAAATATAGTGTCCGGTCTGCTGTTTACCTCTCTGGAATGACTTTGTTCGCTGGGGTCAGGAATGTTGAACACGTCGGGCTGGAAAGGTCAGAAGAAGCCGAGTCAGACGCTAAAATGGGAAGGGGAGGGCAAGACAGAGAGACCAAGCGTCACAAATGCTCTGAATGCATGTGTGATTACAGTACAGTATGCATGTTTATTACTGTCTTCTCCTACCCACAATCTTCCTCCTCTCTCTTCTTCCATGCTTCTCTCCATCAGAGTCTGAGTCAGACTCAGGCACCAGGGTCCTCTCTGGCTTTCTGGGGGTCGTCTGTAGCGATTGAAGACTTTTCGCTTCATCAGTCCACACTGGCACAGGAGGTAGAGCACTCTTCTTCCCGCCATTCTCCACTCCTTTCCCCGTGCCTCCTTCTGAGCTACCGCTAGTGGACGTCGGACCCGTTGCTTTCTCTCTCCCACCATCAGCTGTGGCTGTGTGTGTGTTCCTCTCTGTATTCTTCAGGCTGACGTATTGGCAGGGCAGATCAGCGAGCACCACGCTGTCTCCCTCGGTCAGTGCATAGCGTACATGTGGGGTCAGTTTAAGCCGACCCTTCCTGGTGCCATTTAAGCTGCCCAGGTCCCACAGCAGGGCCTCTGTGGCTTCACTGTGAGCATGACGATCATTAGGACCAAACACGGAGATGGAGATGACGGCATGACAGCCGGATACGGAACGGGCTTGGAGCGGCACAGAGCAAGAGGTAGGGTCTCTCCCCAAAACGTTCTCTCCCTGGTAGAGAGGCACCTCTGTGGATACATGTTGCAAAATAATAATGCAAAATAATATTGTGATTAAACTTAAGCACTACAATATATAATTAACAATAATTGCACTAGCTAACTTGGTGTATTGAATGTGCTGTTGTCTTCATATTTTACCTTTTCTACCTGTTTAGAAGTTAATTCTGGTTTATGTAAATTCTATCTTCAAACTCAGACATGAGGTAACTATTAAACAGCTGAGTAGCACGCAGGCAGCCAAACAGTGTGCAGGTAACCAAAGCAGCTTACTCAACAATGTCACATGTAATCAAACAGCTAAATGTGATATTTCAATTTAATATGCAACAGAATTATTATTATTTTTTTTTTTTAGATCTGTTTATACCACTGCATGGTTGAATTCTTGAATCTGTTTGGTCAGAAGCTGTGCCTTTTTTTGCATAACCTCATGGCTCGGGCAGTAGTTTTCCTCACCACCATCACCTCTGGCTTGATCATTAGGGATAAATTTATACATTTAAAATTAATATCATGAATTTATATAATTCTGTAAAGCTGCTGCTGGCCATTGTTAAAAGCGCTATACAAATAAAACTGAATTGAAATTGAAATTGAATTGAACATTAAATCTAATTAATCTAACTATAAATCTTTAAAATATGCGCTGTGTCTTTCCTTTTTGCGCTTCCCATGGTGTCACATCAGCCCCCACACCGCATTCATTATTTTCATATAACTGCATGGTCTGTCATGTGTTATTCCTTACATAATGTATATTTGAGCTCTTTTATATTTACCAAGCAAAAGCCAATCGTTATCCCTTATGTCTGAGGTGAAATATCTTCTCCTATTAAACACCACTGTAACTGCACTCTTAATGTTCCCAAGCACAGGGAGAGCAAGCTCCGCACACACGGGTGGAGGCAGGATTCGAACCCCCAACCATGAGGTGCGAGGCAACAGTTCTAACCACTGAATGCGAAATCTATGACGTGAAGACTGCAAAACGAATAGCAGCAGTGCTGTAGGAATCCCCATACAACATTGTGTGCTTTTATGGTTGGAGGGGTCACTGAGGGGTCAGTGTAATGCTTATTGCTCACCTGTCTCTGGGATGTGGTTGTTTTTGAACACTTTCAGTATGGCCAGTGGCTCTCTTTGCCTCTTTCCTTCTCCCAGTTCATGTTCATCATCAGAGTCATCCTCCTCTCCGAAGAAAGAGTCCTCGATCTGCTGGGTCGCGTCCATGCATGCCTACCGAGGAGACATGGACATTCATCAGAGATTCTCAACCCTTCAAGACTCAGAGCTCAGACCTTATCTGTATACAGGCCAAGCAGGCCAGGTAAGTAAGATAGAAGTCAGATAGAGGAGACGGATCATCCTATCCATGGCAACATCCCAGTGCTAAGAGTGTAGCTTTGTTTTTCAATAACCTGCCGTTCAGCTCCTCAATGCAAGCGCACTGTGATCATAAATATACTGAATAAATGTCAGCTAAAGTGCTGCAGCTGCAGGACCAGCAGTGTTAGCTCTTTAGCTAGTTCCTAAACTGACAATTTCGACTTTTAAAGAAACCATTTAAAGACGTGAAAACATGCCACAATGTTACATTTAAGGACTGTTAGATTGCTGTGATTGCCTTTGCTCATTTATTTGGATAAATAAATCACAATCGTACACTTTACCACGCAGTTGCAGCAGTGAGGGAAAACTTCCTGAACATCAAGCTACGCCTTTAAAGTAAACACGACTACCCATTGGTCACCTTGGTTACTGCCTAAAGTTGATTGGTTATCCTATATGTCACTCAAAAAGGCATGCTCTTTGATTGGATGTTGTATAAAGGACGCTTTCCTTTGTGAAATTTTCCCCGCGTTTCCACTTAATAAGGGAAATAAGCAATGTTACAAATTCTGTGCGTGCGTTTCTAAATAAATAAATAAATAATGTGTTCATAGTGTTCATTTTTAATTGACAGATATTGCTATAAATTATACTTTACTGACGCAAACACAATTTATTTCGTATTTCATCAGTTTCTTTTCTTTAATTTACTGTGCGTTCAAGTGCTCTAGGGAAGTTCGTTAGTTCGTATTTACGAGTTGGGAAGTCGTAGTTACGACGTCGTTCAAGTCTCTGTGCTCGGAGCAAGATGGTGGTGTACTTTCTCTTAATTAACTACAAAAATATACAGCAAGTATTTTAACTCTGCTTCTAGAAAATGAATAACAAATTACGCATCATCTGTATTCATGAAGCCACTATAAACCTTATCGTTACATATTACATCGTAATTATAAAATACTATTGTATGTTGTGCATGCAATTAGCTTGTTTTATTGTAAATTAAAAAGCCTGACAAAGACATTCCACTGCTAAATACCGAGTCAATTTCAACTCATTCACCGTCGGCTACAGACGCTGCATCCTGACTCCATCATGTTTTCTTACTGACACAACACCAAACTCGGAAACTCGGAGCTCCAAGATCATCCCGCGTTTCCCCACTCGTAATTACGACTCTGTGGTGGCGTTCATGTGCGTTCAGCTCGTAAATACAATATGGCTGCTCTAATACAGGACTAATACAACATGGCTGCTATAATACAGGACTAATACAATATGGCTGCTCTAATACAGGACTAATACAACATGGCTGCTATAATACAGGACTAATACAATATGGCTGCTATAATACAGGACTAATACAATATGGCTGCTATAATACAAGACTAAAACAATATGGCTGCTATAATACATGAAAAAATACAATATGGCTGCTATAATACATGACAAATACAATATGGCTGCTATAATACATGAAAAAATACAATATGGCTGCTATAATACATGACAAATACAATATGGCTGCTATAATACATGATTAATACAATATGGCTGCTATAATACAGGACTAATACAATATGGCTGCTATAATACAGGACTAATACAATATGACTGCTATAATACAGGACTAATACAATATGACTGCTATAATACA